CTCCAAAAAATCCAACATCTAATTACTCTCAGACTTTGCCCATATCGCGTGGAATTCAAATAAAGTAGGAATGACTGAATCTGGACAGCTGGTAGAATGGGCAAATTAAAGTAAAAAAAAAAAGTGGATGCTGATTGGCTGCATAGAAAATTAAAGATTTTCCAGGAACATAATAAAACAGTGTTTTCGATAATTGCCATTTTCTGAAGATGAGAGACGTGTAATGTTATCTGTATGATCTCTTAGCTAGCTTCATCGATTTAATGTGTACTAAAAGGGAATTAATTTATATCATATAATAAAGTAATATTATGATAATTAACTGTTCTAATCCGATACGAAATCAACATTGAAATTGAAGATCTAGGTTGGATTGATTAAGAAATTATTGGTTGGAAATGGATTCGAAAAGATTGATCCTTTGAGCCTTTGAAGAATTAGGGATATTTTAAAAGTTAGAAATAATAGAAGAATTAAGTTTTTGCTCCTTTTAAGTTTGAGTTTAGAGATTACTCAAATTTCAAAAGATATGTCAATCTATGATGTTTATGATAAGTTCATTTTTACCATTAATGGAGTCGTGAAAGAATGGTGTAGTGATTATATTTCCTAACTTAACAAAATATATATGAACCTAATATTATTTTCTCTCTTCCCCATCCTCTATCTCTACGACAAGCTTGATTGTAAGAAAAGACGGAATGTCCCATTGTCTAGATGTTCAAACCGTGTCAGGGATAGCACAATATAAGTGTCGTAGCACGCTTTGTTTGATCACAAATTTGACAAAGCTGCAAACCTCCGTTTGGACGTGTCGACTGGATGGGCAACTTACAAAACAGGAAACACTCCGATGTCAAAGTCGGTAAGAATCCAAGTTGCTTTTCAAAAAGAAAAGTGATATTCGCATACTTGAAACAGAGTGAATGGATTCTATTTATAGGCGACTTCCCTGACAATATTCCCGATAAGGCTTCAACGACTCTTTAAGGTGGTCATGAATCACAGCGTGTTGTCGTGAATCCTATCGGAGACTTGAGCTGAGCCGAGATGAAGCTAATTTGTTCAACAACCAAATGAGAACACGTTTTTATGAAGCTTGGTCGGCTCGGTGATGAAGCACAAGACCGAGGTGATGAAATTTGAAGCTTATTAATGAAAGCCACGTGCATCACCTATCACCCAATCAGTACGTGCCACGTGTATGGAGAGAACATAAAATATAGTAATATTTATTTTAACTTTATTCCGTTCAAGAATTCTTTATATATTATTTATTCGCCAACAACCTGAAATAATAACTTTTTAAATTTTTGGAGGATAATTTTTCACTAAAAAATATTTCAACCTGATGCGTGGATACCCTAATCTGAACAATGATATTAATTTAAAGCAGTAAAATAAGGTCAATTTAAATCTATTTTCGGCATATGAGAAACTTTTCTGTATAATTAAATATTGTAGGTACCATTATGACTGAATTCGGCCCATTTAACTATATTACTAGAATAAAAGATGTATAAAATAAATTGGCGTCGCCCGGACTCGAACCGGAGACCTTCAGTGTGTTAGACTGACGTGATAACCAACTACACCACAACACCTTAATGCTAAGGAGATAAAAAACAATGATTCTGTTCATCAACTTAGGCCCGGCCCGAGTTTTGGTTTAACTTTTGTGGGCCTTGAAACAGGTCCGTTGTATTTATGTGGGCCGAGATTTCAGTCGTCTCTTTATAAGCAAACAAGATCTGAGCGAAGAATTCCCCATTTTCACTCGTGAAAGGAAATCGAGAGGAACATCGCACAGAGTCGAAGGAAGATGAAGCAGTTCGATCCATGGCCGGTGTTTTTCAGGCGAGAATGGAAGAGGAACTGGCCCTTCCTTGTAGGTTTCGCCATAACCGGGACTCTTATAACCAAGATGACCGCCGGACTATCTGGTATCATGATCGATTATCATTCTTTATACTTTTTTCTTCTTGATTCCGCCTTTTGTTTCTTGGGTTTGATTCGACTCATTCACTTATGCCTGTATTAATTCTTTCGTCGACTGCTTCTCAGAGGAAGAAGTGAAGAACTCTCCTTTCGTCCAGAGGCACAATCGGTAATTTCCCGGAACCCTAATTGACTGATTCCCACTCGGCGCACATTTTTTCGCATATGCATTTAATATAGTGTCCCGATTTGATTTTATTAGCCTGAAAGTACGAATGCATTCAAGAGAATTGTTCAGTTTATTTGTTTTCTGTTCTTTGAAGTGGGGCTTCTGCATTTACCTGATTGTGTTGCGATGGGAGTAAATTCTATAGCATAAATTATTATTGTGTGCCCTGCTTATCGAGATTTGTAGTTGTGGGTGTGGGTTGGTTGATTATTGTTGTGGTGGAAAATTCTCGTGGATTTTGAATCTTCTTGAGTTTCCTGTATTTCATTGGAAGGTGGCTTAAGGGAAGGGCTAAAAACCCACCATATATGACCCGAAATCATCTGTAGGGAAAAATGGGAGGAGGATAACCCAATTTTGACATTGATCTGAAAGTTATCTGGAGTTGTAACACTTATTTTCATCCCTAACATTTGTTCCAATTCTTGTGGGAGTAGAGGCCTTTTCTCTATATGTTATGACACAATCAAAACTTTTGTGTATGTTCATGTTCCAAAAATTTGTATTTTGGTATTTGTTAATTTCCTACAGTTGAGTCATATAACTTGATTATATTATGCTTAGGAAGATAGGGGAATGTGGCTGACAAGTTAATGCTCTGGCTGCTGCAGGTGAATCCTTGAAGGGCTTTGGTGTCATTGCCAATGAGATGTCTTGTTTGTGCAAAATAACAGATGCTGCGCTTAGTTTTCAAGCCATTTAAAGCAAGTTTTATGGTACTTCTCAGTATGTATCGAACTTGAAGGATTTTTCTGATGTTTACTTTCTGTATGAACAAGAATTTTTTTTCGTAGCATCAAATTGGTTGAAAACTTTGAACAACTGGTTGCCCTGCTTAATTCGAAATGGTTGAACTCTTGTTTACAGACTGACTCCTACATGTCATATAAACATGTGTACATCAACGTTTTTTTTTCCTTTTGTTGTTATACTTGACTGGTTGGGTTGAACTTTGACGGACCTCAGTAATCGCACACCTTTTGAAATGTAATGTTCAGAAACTGACATGTTCTCAAACTGTTTAGCCCCCAATTTTGATTTGTTAATCAAAAGATCAGTTACTTACGAGTGTGACATTATATTTTGAACTAAACAAATTATAACTATTGTATAGTTGAAAAAACACAGCATCTATGATGTATTATACAATGATTTCTTACTCAATTTTTTTATGGATTACTTTTTCTTTTTTTTTTTACATAGTAATATTATTAGGATAAAGCAATCTTGAAGTAACCAATACTCATTCATCATCCACTTCTAAATTAACATTTGATTACTTTTCTTAAATTTTGTTCCTCTCAACTCAGAAAATATTATGAAACAAACACGTTCCTCTAATCCTCCGGCATAATCTATTTAGAACGCAAACAAACGTTATATTTGAATGTTTAGAAAGCAACTAATTTTAAACATTGAACCCGGAAAAAAAAAAAACATAATATATGCATGTAAAATGATATATTGTATTGGTCTAATCCTCCGGCATCGGCAGGCCTTCCTGAATTCCTCTAATCCTCCGATCCTAAACCAATGAAAAGAAACAGAATCGTATGTAATAACTAAACAAAACAGATAAAAATGAAAACCACAGCACTAACCGCATCGTAAACAGGTAATTGGTTGCGCCAAAATTCCATCGCCGGCAGAAGTAATCTCCCTGCAATTCCATCATCAACATCATCATCATCATATGCAATTTCTTTGTTTTCAGAATCAATATGTTGCTCTCACCTGATCGAGATCGCCCATAACTCAAACTTTCTGGAGATTTAATGCAGATTTTCTCCTCCCTTTGCCTTTGCCTTTGCCTAATACCACTTCCCTGAAACAATCCCCCTTCTATAACCACCTCAAACATAACCAAAATACACTCTACAATTACGCATTTAACTTAGTCAAACTAGAGGTATATATTATCCTCGGCTAAAAGGTTGGAGGTTCAAATCCCCACCCCACATATCCTTAAACTAATAAAAAAACGGGTTTTTGATTCAATCTGTGTCATCCTGAGAAAGATCTAGCTTAGCAGGAACAACAATACTCCTATTGCTTTGAAATCGTGAAGAGACTCAACAAACTCATAAGAAAATTCAATACCAGACATCTGGAAATTTAAGGGAAGCGATGGATACACATCTTGAGTTGCAGAAATGACTTACAGGTGAAATGAAGAGAATTTTCCTCTTGGCTTGCTTGCAACAATCTTGCTCTCCTTTTCTTTTGTTTTCAATTTCTTCACCTTGAATATTAGCACCAGTTTTATGGGGTGAACCAACCAGATTTTTGAGAGGCACAGCAGTTTTAGTTGCACTTGCATTCTGCATCACATCTTGGGCCATAGTATCTCCATGATCCAATTCTTGTCTTGCATCATTTTCCACTGGACTACCATCTGCTACATAGCTATCTTGCTTATTCACTAGACTTCCGAAGGATGAGTGGTTCTCATTTTAGTAACATAAAGAAGCACAAACACGAACATGAGACGTGAGCACGACATTATATAAACACTAGAAATGTCAGTTATAGTTGATGCCAACAACACAACAACTCTATAAGGACACGTTATTTAAATATACATTCTATTTTTATATCAAAGTGAACATTTTTATAGATTTCAGTGATTTTCAAGTGAGAACTTTGTGTTACTTCCTTACATTTATGTCAAAAAGACAATGTAGAAGAAGTATTCAAAACCAAACTAACTTTCTTCTATGTGATTCAACATCTAAAACATGTATTCACGATTTTCAACTTACTTGGACAATTTTCACACAAAGGAGAATTGATATTGGTGAAAGTACAGTTGTTTATGCAAGCGTCTGCAGCCCATTCAAAGAATCAAAGTGAAAGAAAGATGTAGAAGTAGGTGTTAGGTTAGGTACAGAACTTCAAAGAACTCAGTTTCAATGATATGCAAAAACTGAAGCATTTTAAAGCATGACACAGACAAGACACAATAAGGACACAATGGCACGTAGTTTTTTAAAAATTTAGGGCATGTTATATGGTAAGGACACGTTTACTAAAATATACCGTTCAATTATTCACATGTCAAAAATTTAATGTTTTTCGCTCTCAAAAATTTATTATTTCTGTCCTATATTTCTTATTTCCATCCATTTACAAATTAAGTAAAAGTTTGAAAAATTCAGTTTCGTGTCCAACAATTGTTTAACATAGGTTTGTGAGGGTCTAATGTGTGGCTCTTGTATTTAACATAGTGTTCGACACATACAATTATTGGATCATATTGAAATTTTCATGTCTAGCACATATTTATTTTGCCTATGTATTGTGCTTAACAATGTGTCCAGCAAATATAGAAGTCTCAGATTGTCCGAGAGGAAGAGTAGTTTGAAATGTCATCAAAATGCACTTACTTTTCGATTTACATAGCAAATTGTCTGTATCAGAAATATTTCCCGCAGCAGAAGCACTATCAAAAGCTTCTCCCTCAAAGTAATTCTCCGCATAAGTTTCCCAGTTAGGAGGAAACCCAAACACAAAATGCTTAAAAACCTGTTTATTGTGAAAGTTATACAAAACCCAAATTAGAAACCAACAAATTACACAAAGGAGAAAAACATAGCCATTTTATAAAAAATCCTGTATGAAATTTATAGTTTTGAACTCAGATACAAACCTCATCTGTGAACCCATTATCAGTAGTACGGAGTTTGTTTATGAAACCCTTAATAACAACACAGATTCCATCCGCAGTCTCGAGAGTGAAAACATCGTACCTCTTAACAATCGGCGCAGAAGAAAATACTCGAACAGGTTGTTCCCTAAAACCAACAAATTATAAAATCCCAAATCAAATTCACGAATTGCTGCTCGATCTGCAACAGATTGAAGCAAATTGTGGAAGAAAACAGAAATAGCGAGAGAGGGAAGGGGATTACGGTCTGGAAGTGAGCCCAGCGACGGCTAGCGTTTTTCGATTGAAGTCATTTTCAGCTCTAATTAACCACCAATCGTGCAAACAGACCTTGTTTTTGGATCAATAAGAGACAGAATCAGAACAGTAGAAGAATTTTGAAAGGAACCTGGGATTTTTCGCTTCGAGGGAGGGCTTACTGTTTTCTGGAAGTAAGAAGCTGCGGCGCCGCCGCGGGTTTTGGGGTCGCCGTTGGGGGTTGTAGTTTGATGAGATTGTGGAGTAGAAGCCATGATCTTTTGAGAAATCCGGGTGCGATTTTAGCAGCGATTTCTTTGCATTAAGTTTTTCGCTCTTTTTCCCTCTGGATGATTTGAAATCGTTCGAGGAGATGACACCGGCGCGGGAACGCTTGCTTCGTATTTCGACGCTTCGATGTGATATTCATATTTATTTCGGAATTACTTAAGAAATTTTTTCTCTTCCCAAATCTCCGCTTATCGGCTACTCGATCGAGATTTATTTAAAGTTCAAGTATATATTTTAGTCTCTAATATTAATTAATTTTTAATATTTTAATATTCTTTAATTTAGTATAGTTGATACTTGATAGTAAATTTATATCACATAAACGTAGTGAACTCTCTAATTCTTCTTATAAATTTTTAAAAAATTGATAAAAATTTTGAGTTTTATTTTTTGTGATCTTTTTTCTACTTTAAAATTTTGCCAATTTACTAAGTATTATGTCATATAAATTTAATAATTTATCATCAACCATGAATGACAAAATTAAAAAAATTTTATAGCATAAGACACTAAATAAAAACTTTATAAAAATAGATACTAAATTTTAAACAAATGAAAGAAAAAAAAAACCTCTCTTACAGACTAAAACATATCTTTTATTCAAAATTAAAATACCTTTTATATGTTAACTTCCTTAGTTAATGATTACTTCATCAAAGACTTAAACATGTTTGAAATCAGCCTATCATTTATTCCTTCCAAAACATAAATAATATTTTTGACATGTAATGTAAGTATTAAACTAAAAAAGTTGATGCCAAATATTTATCAACTATAAAATTGAAAGCTTCAAAATTTATTAAAAATATAAAAAAAAATTTGAAAGTTCAAGACTTATTAAAAAAATTTAAGTAAAAAGCTAATAAACTCAACTTGAAAGTTAAAATATAAGATTTATAACTAAACCTTCTTTTTATCACACGTATAGGATTGGATTTTTTCCCCCTTTTTTCCTTTTAGGATATAGCATTACAAATATAGCTCTCATACTTTTCAATATAGTAATTTAGTCATGATAATTTAATAAATATATCAATTAGATTTTTAATATTAAAAATATCACCTGCAAACGATTTATGTTATAGAGTTCGATAGTTGAACCACAAGATCGGTTGAGATAGGTGAAATTTAACCGAAAAGGAAACTATGGTAAAGGATGTATGATGTGTAAAGGATAATGTCGGAAGAATATCAAATATGAATACATAAATTAGGAGTGACATTAAAATATTAAGTCGAAGACAATAATACATAGCACTTGAACTTTTCATTACAACAAACTGCCAAAATGGCTTTGGCTTGAATATCACAACCACCAAAATAACTTTATAATATATTGGCATCAACTTCAACTCAAATGTTGGTCAAAGAAAGAAAATAAGTTATCGTATAGAGAAAATTAATGAAACAAAAAGACAACCTTAAAATATGTCTTGGTGGAAGTGTCCTGAAACAGATTGTGCCCTCTGCAGATGGAGATTTAAAGTGTAGTTTCTTACCTGCACAACAACAATTCATAGCAACATGAGAATTTGTAGCTTTTATAACAAGAGTAATTTTTTCAGAATCGTTTCTCTTAAGACTGCATCTAGAATCAAGGAACAGAGGACGATATCAACGACTATTCTGATTTGGTCTAACTTCTCTTAATCTTGCACTGAGTCAGGGTATAAGATCCGACACAAGCCCCGATAAACAAGAACACGACCACTGAGACAAGTCGTGTCATTCTAATTTGAATAACATCGCAGATACCGAATCAATAGACACACCAAATATAGTGTCATAGAATCAATACCAAAAATATGACCAGGACAGCCAAGTCTAGAAACAAAAGATATTGCAGTAATAGCTGATATGGGTGAAAATAATGAATGAATATAAAAGTCAAACTATCACAAGGATTTAGGCACATAACATGATAACTGTAAGCAATCTGCATACCTCTAAACTTTGAATTTGTTCTTGATACTGGCATAAGACGTGCTTTAACTGATGAACTTCTTTTGTCTTCTCTTCTTGCTCGAGATTGCGCTCGTGCTGAATGGCTACAGCTCTCTTTAAAATTTGGTTGTCGTTTACCAAGTTTTGCAAATGCTCCTTCAAAGAAGCATGTTTTAACTGCAATACAATGTGGAAGGAAACATAAACTTCACCTCTTGACACTTCATCAAAAGGAGATTAAAAAGTCTAATGGAAAATGCTTCTACACTACCTCCTCTGATTCTCTTGAAAACGCAGTTACGTTATGTTCGAAAGCTTCTAAAATCCTTCCAGCTCGAGTTCTAGCATCGTCAAGATCTATTGCATTCGTCATCTCTTGCACAAACATATCCACCCACTTGGACCCATGCATTGCATTTCCTTCAGCAACGGCTGAACTAACGTCTTTATCTTTTTCAACCTTCTCGTGTGACATTTGACTGCCTGATTACAGAAATCCAAAAA